ATTTACAGCAGTGCCAAGGATGCTTCTGAAATAAACAATAAGTTATAAATCTGGGATATGTGGTTGATTCCTTGTTTCGACTTGTAGTTCAACGGAATCTTATTACTTGGATACTTCAGCCGTTCTTGTTAAAAACATGCCTAGCATTGTTGGGTTTATAATTTGTGCCAATTTGCGGTGTTTTTATTCGATAAAAAAGTGATTTCAAAGGAAAAAAATCCCGGTCGCTGGGATCACCACGATCATACAAAAAGTTTGAAAAGACGACTTCTGTCACGTTTAAAGGAAGTTCTCTTACACTATTTCCCAAATTCATAACTTTTGATTACTGAACTTTTATGACTTCGGATTGCACTTTGCATGCACTAAATTCTATTTGGAAGAAGAGGTCATGCGCTCTACAAAATAAATAGCTTGCTTCTCAGTAAACACAAATTATGTAGTTGGAGCCAGTATGTTGAAGTTCTTAATCTACTTCTTTCAACTAAGCAAGGTTTGTGCTGATTGAATGTCTCTGTCAACTTACGATTTTTAAGCAAATAGGGCATTCTTCTTGAAAATCATAAATTTTTCGCAGGGAAAAGCACAAAGTCTGTTCATTAAAAGAAGCGGGGTATGGAACCTATAATACTGATTGCTCCGATTTTTATGGTAAGTGTCGATTTTTATGACCAAACTCAGGAAAATTGGAATATCGGTGATTTTCTTCTACCGCTTCTATCTACATCTCTATATATATCTTCTATCTCTTGTGTGCGCATTGAAAGGGAGCTACGTGTAAATACAAGCGCATGACTTCTTTTTCAAAATAAAACTATTATGATTTTTGAAAACGGTGCGACAGAACCTATGAACCAACCTGATATTTCAATGCGCTCGTTTTTATATGTTTATATTGTAAGGAAGTAAGAATACCGGTGGGCAGACAAGGTAAAATCTAGATATTTGCAATCTCAGAACACAAAGCTTTTTCTTAAGCTGCGTTTTTCTTCCCGGCGAGGATGTTAATGCATGCGCCGTAAGGTCTGTGTGATGGAACTAGAATAGAATAACTGACTCGGAAGATCATCTGGAGAATTCTCAGAGGATCAAATAAAAAAAAGTAAAAAAACTCAGCTTATTTTGTAATCCACCATTATGGTTACCTCAACGGGGCGTGAGTTGATATGGGATGGAACCGCAATGTACAGTCGAGTATATATATACTCTGGCAGGATCTCCCACCAAAAAGCGGTTAGACGTATCAAGTCTTCCACTTGCCTGATGAGCCTTAAAGGCAGCGCCTCGGCAGATTTTGCATTTCCATCTTTTTGCATGTTTTGGGCCTTCTCGACCCGTAGATCCCGAATCTGAGCTTTAAAAGCGGTGAAAAAGCCTTTTTCGGGGTGTTTTTTTTCAATTTCCTAAAGGCAGCTCGGACGAGAATTTTCAGGAAAGTCGGGAGGCCCTGGCACGAAGACCCTGCTGCCTGTAATTTTGGCTTTGTATAGCATGCACAATGCGGGAAAGCGGTTGGGGGGTCCCGCGCCGTCTAGCGGAGAATACTCGTCCGAACAAGGTGTTAGGGGAGCGAAAGGAGGAAGGGGAGCGGCGCTTGGGCCGCCCCCCTGGCTTGCAGAGTTCACATTTTCGGCGCGGAGTTGCTGTTTTGGTTCACTTGAAAGGCCTCCTATCCATCTGTGTCAAAATCCGAGGTAGGTCAATCTGCCGAGCCGCTGCCTATAAGAGGGGAAGGGATAAACACACTCTATATGACGGTAAAAGTCGCTTCCGGTGCGCACACTATCTCAGAATCGGCGATTGCCCTGAAGCAAGTAGAAGGCAAGGTGAGTCTGAAGAGAGTCCGACATCCGAATCAGGCAAGAACGACGTTCTGAAATAACATCCAAGGATTTCCTCCTGCTCGGCACCTACAGCGCCAGGAATCGTTACAAATGTAGGCTTCCATGCTTTCCTCGACGCTGCAGCGCACATCAAGTACCACGTCATTGTTCTGCAAGAAACGATAACCAGGAAAAAGGATGTGCGATAGTTGAGTGACGGAACCTCATCTTCCGTGGCAAGAAAGATCCAAGAAAGCGCTGAAGGCGTTGGCTTTGTTTTCCATTCCCTATCGTCTATCTTGTCAATACGCTTAAGTTCCTATCGCCTAATGGTCATCCTACGTTTGAGCCTTTCACGTCAAAACACCTCAGCTTCATCAGCTGTTATTTCCCAACATAGGCAGCTGACGATGCGATACTACGAAGACGTGGAAGAGGCTTCAACGCAAAGATCGAGGTGCCACTAATAGAGGAGTCTGAGAGCGGGATGCTTTGAGCTCCGTTCAAAAACTGCAACCGTCTAGTTGGGCTTCTCTCCGCTTACTTCTCCGGAAATTCCATCTTTATAAATAAAGAACAGCGTGTTGGACTCGTTAATTGTTTTCCACGCAAAGGTTAAGCTTCTTGATGTCTCTGCGGCTCCACCCTTTCGCAATGGCTTCGATCACCACTTCCGAGCAAAAAAGGTTATTTGTGATTTCAAAACTAAATATATGTGCACTTATCAAGTTGACTGGCTTATAGTAGAAGACTTAATGTACGATTAAAACGTTTTCTCCAGAGGATGGCGAACCTGTTGAAAATGTACGTCAGGACTAGAAGAGAACCTTTAAAGCATTCAACGGCCATCAAGGTGTTGTTTGAAAAAAGAAGAGCTTTCAGGCAGGATCCGAATGCAGCCATTTTGAGTGACTGATGACGAATTCTCGAGTAGCACGGAACAAGCTGCAAATGTCGCGTAGGACTTCTTTAAAACATCAGATGAAGACTATTGCGAAGAACTTCTATCTTTATCTCTTCCACTTATCAGCGTCAAATTAATGTTTCTGTCAGCGTTGGTCGCCAAGGAGTGAACCCAGCTTACTAAGCTTAGACGATCGCTGCGAGGTTTGTATAATGACAACAAGCTAAACTATCGCTCAACATCCCACTGAAGAAGTTCGTCAAGGCATTACCGAGGCTGCTTTGAGAGGAAGATGAAGATGCTGGACTGAGAAAAAATGCATACGGGTTAGTTGGAAATTTCTCTCAAACCTTTGTTATGTAAACAACATCATCCCTTCTCGAGGTTTCGCAGAAGCAGTGACAATGCTGAATATCTTAAACAATATCAGGAGATCGGACTACAAATAAATCAAGACGTTCCGAAAAAAGTCTTTTGTACAGGAGCAAAAGTTATAGCTACATCGCACCTCCATTACGGAAGCGTCTTTTTACGTGTACTTTGGAAGCTCGATGAGATAACGATCTAAGGAAAGAACTTAACGTAAGAAGAAGAGCAGCATGGGCCTTTGGGTTCCTTCATACTACGCCGCGTGCGCCGCTTACGCCGCAGCACGCAGCGTACGCTGCTCGCAGCGAGAATTCGCTCATGGCAGCACACGCTGTCTATCATTGTATTTCCATATCTGCTACTCTTCGTGTTCTCCGAGTGTTCACAGCGAAACTATGCTGCCATGGGGTATTCTCGCTGCGAGCAGCGTACGCTGCGTGCTGCGGCGTACGCGTTGCACGCGGCGCAGTATGAAGGAACCCTTTGAAGGAAGTAACTTGACCAGATATTTGGATCAGTACGATATGTAATGAATGTTACGCACATTTGTTTCCGCGGAATACGTTGAAAAACGTATAATCCTTGGGCTGTCTGCGCCAGAAGAAAGGCAGAGGATAGATGGACATTGAGTGTATTTGAGTTCATTAATGAAGCAAAGCATCCCTGAAAAAGGCCACATATAAGATAGGCAAACGTGTTTGTGGAACGGATGGCCAGCTGATAAAGTCGATTATTTGCACTTGGAAGCCGCGCACGCAACCAATGACTATGAAACCATGGATGTCGAAAGCGAGGTACAGGAAGCAATTGCAGCTGTGCTGAGACAAGCACGGCATGTGCCATTATAGTATCTAATAGTTAGTAGGCAAATATATGACAATTGCCGTCATTCACCATGCTAAGGTATCAGGATAGTAGAACCTCCGAAAGATAGAAAACGTGATGCACAACCCCTTAGCAGCGAGACACAAGGCCCCCTTGCAACTTTCCTCCGTTTCCCGAGCGGGTGTGCAGCTGTTGATAGGATAGAATGTTTCCTATGCGTTCTTTCTCACTTAAGCTATTTGGAGCAGATATACAGGCGCTTTAAAATTCGATTGCCCATGCGTCGCTTTGAACACCAACGCGCGGGGCAGCTGCAAACGTTGGGTCCCGAAGCGTTATAGGTGACAATGAGCGCACACCCGTTTCGCACATTTTTTTGAACAAGTTTTGGTTGAAACATGCTTCGCATTTTTGAAAACAATAAAAAAACTGACAGGAAATTTCATGAAAAATAGTGAATGTCTACAGTTACGTTGGCGTTCAAAGCACGGCGCGGGCAATTAAATTTTGCAAAACCTATATGTAAAGTGCGACGATTTCTACATTTTAGATGGTTTCCAAATCCACATCCTCATTTGAATACTTGCAAATTTTTTGGGCTATTCTGCAAGTTTATTCCAGTAAATCTTTCACTCGTATTCGAGATATTGAAAGTAGGAAGATAAACGGGTAATTTGTCATCAAGCTTTCTACAACTGCGTCATTATTATTCATTATTATACTACATGTAATTTCCACAACGCATAGGAGTCCACTATTCGTATGCTTAAAATTTGTCAGTTGAAAATTTGATTGTTTTTTTGGATTATCTCAATTATAATATAAACAGAAGGTAGTAGCATACATTTCAACATGTTTCGCTAATTATTTTCAAACATACTACTGTTAAGAACTGGTGGATTGCAGCGCAGTTCACATACCAAGTTGAATTGTCATTAATTTCCATAAACGCTGTCAGTTTCGTAGGCGACATTTCAAATTTATCTCACAATTCATTTAGATAACCACCGAGCTGCTAAAGAGCAGATGCATAGATTTCATCATAAATCTGCGGTAATGAATGGAGAAGTGGATTTTAGGGCTCATACTATTGAAACTTCTACTACCACTACTACTACTACTACTACTACTACTACTACTACTATTACTACTAATACCATGGTAACTGACACATTTACGACAAAAGCAATTCAGCGAACTGGTCTAGAGGTGGAGCCTAATGCGTCTACGACTGGTATGTTTTACATATCAATTCAGAAGAGGTCCGAGAAATTTTTTTTGGGTGAAGGAGGAGGCAAAAATTTTTAATCAAAATAAACAGGATTGGGGTTAGCCACTCCTTTAAGGACAATTTTGGGATAGAAATTTTTGAGGTTTTAAATTGATAAAGGATATTCTGAACTGATATCAAATTTCAACAAAATATTAGGGTGCACGGTAAAAAATGGAGCAGCTTGATTTTTATTACATTTTGAGGTTTTTTGTTCTCACCAACAACGAGCAGGCTGCAATTCAGACGTCGCTTACATAAACGAGCTTCGCTTATTATTCTGGCAATGCGTTACCGCTCCTCTCTCACAACCGTACGCGTGGCGTCGTGATGAAGGACAGACAGGGTTTTTGGAACAATTCTCAATCTGGCGTATCTATACCGTATATTCGTAAAGCAAATTACATACCATTCGAAAGAGCTCTTCATGCTTTTTCAAAAATAAGTTGAGTGCATGAGATTTATTTTCAATTTCAGAAAAAAGGAAAAACCACCTGAAAAGCTATTTTTGGCGCAATAAAAAACCAAAAATCATGTTTTGCCCTATATTTTCCGAAGATAGATAAAATCTGAGGTAAGCTTTATATGGATGGATAGAGCGTAAAGAGCTCTATCAGATGGTACTTAGAAAACATGCGTTCACCTGCAAAGAATTGAATAACGCGTTTTTTTGTTCTCGAATCTGCTAATGGCCATATCTCCTGACTTTGGAAATTGAGGCCACCATGCCGTCCTGGGTTTAATGACTGTCCCACCACCCATTCTAGCAGTCGTACTTTTGGTGATCTCACATGTTTCACTGCGCAGATACTGCTCAAACTTCATAATTTATCGAGGTGACTACCTTTGCATTTCAGCAAGTATAAAAATTATTTGTTATGTAAGTGACCTTATTTAGGTGTTATCTGAAAGAGAATAACATACTCTAATATCTATTAAAATTGGAAAGTCTAATTTCATTTCATTTCATTTCATTTCATTTCATTTGTACGCTCAAGGCGTTCCATAAAGAAAAGACACATCAAGAAGTTAGTAATACAGCGGAAACGAACAAGACATGTAAACAAATGCAGACATCATCATGTCAGTCCGAGTCTGATCCTAATCAGATTAATGTGAGAAGATAAAACAGCTTGCACTGAATATGTTGGTAGGCTAATAAATTCACTTCTCTAATCACTTCTCTTTCTTAAGAAACCTCCAGTTATTTCGTAAGTACTCCATTTTTTACCGTTCACCGTAATATTAGGTTGTTCCGAAAGTAATGTCGCTTTTTTCAAACGTACACCACACCTTGTGAAACAAAGATATGTAAGAGATTCTGGTAGCATATGATGCAGCATTTCATTCTCTTTCTAACGGTTATATAACCATTGCACAAAATCCAATAAAGTTTCGAAAAATTATCAAAATCTGCGACCCATGCTTTTTGGGAAGGCCAAGTTTCACAATTTTTCTAAGTTTCTATAACAACCCTCGGAAGGAGTCCAAGTAGTGGATGGATAGAGCAAGTTCTACAGGAAACAGCACAACTTTTTTCTACTTTCCAGAGCTTGTCATAATTTTTGTATAGATTTTTTGATAGAACCACCGAATTTTAGCAGACTCGTCTCAGACACAAATGCATCAAACACCAGTAAATCTTCGGATTTTGAAACTTACAAAGATGGATTACGGTTTGACACTAATTTTACAAAGCAAATGAGCGTTCATCGCTTCAGATCAGCAACTTTCGAAAATTCCGGGTACAGCCCGAGGCGCCCTGGAAAACCTGAATTATGATGATTTTATCCCGTAAAACTCAATGGATCGGAAACAAAAAACAGCTGGTAGAATGAGGAGAAAAAGCTGCGTCAAATGACACCCGAGCTGCTTGCTGATGGTTGTTCTGTGAGGTTTGAGTTGACCAAATATGGAATTTATGGCATTGAAAAAATGGTTCCAGAAAGTATAAGAAGCAAGCTAAGAAAAAGAAATAAATCGTGCTGTGTCCTATAGGGTTTGCTCTATCTACCTGCCACTTGCACTTCTTCGGAGACTAGGTACAAAAATTTAGATAAATAGCCGAACTTGACCATGGCAAAAAGCATGAGTCGCAGGTTTTGATAATTTCTCGAGGGCTCATTGCAGATTATGCAATGAAATTACAACCATTGAAAAGAGAATGAAATGCTGTATCGAATGCTCCTAAAACCTCTTGAAAATCTTGATCCGATGAATTGTGGCGCTCATTTGAAAAAAGCGACATTACTTTCGGAACGACCTAATATTATTAAGGTGTTCGCAAGTAAGCCTTCACAGATGTGCCCAAGTAGGCCATTTTTCAAAGATTTCGCAACCCATTCTTGGAGCCCCTCCCTCATAAACCCACATTCACATTATGCTTCTACAGCATTTTTTGCGCATATATAAAGCATAAAGCTTTGATTTACTAACAACTCGTTACTGAATCTTGTGCCAAAAAAGAGCTACTATAGAGTCTTATTGCACTCTTGAATTCAAATGTGATCAAAGCTGTTATTTAGCTACATACTGCAGCGGTGGCTCCTTCACAGAAGACGAGATCAACTGCCAAATTCTTTCCATCATAAATCACAAGCGCTTCGCCCTTGCCAGTGGGATGCAATGGAACGGGTGGTTCGCCGCAGTAATGGCTGGAAGCAGTGCGGAGCGCTTACCACCAGCTAAAAACATGAATAAATTGGTCAGTTTATAAAAATGTTCGTACAAACGTATTGTATTCTCGCAATCGGGTTCTCAGAGGTGGCAGGAAGTGAATCACTTTCTCACTTTCAAAATCCGTTGCAGGTTGTAATATTGTCTTCTCTGTCTTCTCTGGCTTCTTTCTCAATTTCAAAATTCAAATGAATACAAGGCAACGAACGAACCTCAATATAGAAAGATGTAAAAACCTAATTGTAGCAAACATTTTGATTGATCTTTCAAGTTGTTAGGCTTCATCAACAATCCGTGAGATATTGCAAGAAGCGTCTAATGTCATGCATCAGTTTCCTTCGCCAATCTCTACGGGATGCTGCGGCAGTAGTCCCGCGCAGCGCAATCACACCACTACGTACACGTGAGGAGGTGTTCTAGCTATAATATGCCTACAGTTATCGCTGGTAGCAATTTATCAACAAGAAATGAGAGACAGACATTTCAGCAGCCGGCGTGCTCTAGTTTAAATTCGTTCATTGAGTGTCCAGAGGGGGGAGCACGACTATAACTCATCTTCACAACGAAATCATGTTTGAAAATTCTGTATCACACAATTTATTGAAATTTTTGCAAATCTCAGAGTTCGCTGAAACTTGTTGCGTGCTTATCCAATATTGACTACGAGAATGATACTTGATTTGCATGGTAGGGTCTTTTTCTCACGCTTACGTCAGGTAAACGATATTTTGACTAGCGGCCCTACGGGCCGCTGTAAGTGGGTCGGGGCAGATACATTAGTATTTGCTTAATTGGGACTGCATCTAACTATAAACGGTGTTCAAATCGCCCCTCTAGGAAGAAATAAATAAAAAATCAAGCTTCGCGGGTAGACACAAGACATCTGATCTTTTCTCCCAAATGCCACCACCAGAAATTAGTTATTTGATTCAGCTTGCTTTTTCTGTTGCTTGGTTAAAATCAACATAATCGCTTCCCTAGAACACTGACCAATGCAAACGCATGCTGGGTCTTCACTTCGGGAGCAAGGGCAAAATAAAGGACTCCAAAGATGATTGGCCGTTGAAAGAACAATAGGGGAAAAGCTGACAGCGGGTTCCAGGGTTTGAAAGCAAAAGTTGAGGTGGTTGAAGGCCATGGGCAATGTGGCATAAATTTCGTGGAAATCGAGCTTTTCAGTGATTTGTATGAAGATTGTGGGGGAAAACAAAACTTTTCGTTCAAAAACTGGCCAGCCATAGAGAGCCCTCCGGAGCTCAACCAGCGAGACCACAGCTTCCATGCTGGGTCTTCATTCCGGGAGCAAAGGCATTTTCTGTGGCCAAATTTCTGTCGAAATCGATTTTTTTACCGTTTTTCGTGGAAATTGTGGGGGAAAACAAAATTTTTCGTTCTAGAAACTGGCCAGCCACAGAGAGAGCCCTCCGGAGCTCAACCAGCGAGACCACAGCTTCCATGCTGAGTCTTCATTCCGGGAGCAAAGGCATTTTCTGTGGCCAAATTTCTGTCGAAATCGATTTTTTTACCGTTTTTCGTGGAAATTGTGGGAAAACAAAACTTTTTCGTTCTAAAAACTGGCCAGCCGCAGAGAGAGCCCTCCGGAGCTCAACCAGCGAGACCACAGCTTCCATGCTGGGTCTTCTTTCCGGGAGCAAAGGCATTTTCTGTGGCCAAATTTCTGTCGAAATCGATTTTTTTACCGTTTTTCGTGGAAATTGTGGGGGAAAACAAAATTTTTCGTTCTAGAAACTGGCCAGCCATAGAGAGAGCCCTCCGGGGCTCAATCACCGAGACCACAGCTTCCATGCTGGGTCTTCATTCCGGGAGCAAAGGCATTTTCTGTGGACAGATTTCTGTCGAAATCGAGGTTTTTACCGTTTTTCGTGGAAATTGTGGGGGAAAACAAAACTTTTTCGTTCTAAAAACTGGCCAGCCACAGAGAGAGCCCTCCGGAGCTCAACCAGCGAGACCACAGCTTCCATGCTGGGTCTTCATTCCGGGAGCAAAGGCATTTTCTGTGGCCAAATTTCTGTCGAAATCGATTTTTTTACCGTTTTTCGTGGAAATTGTGGGGGAAAACAAAATTTTTCGTTCTAGAAACTGGCCAGCCACAGAGAGAGCCCTCCGGAGCTCAACCAGCGAGACCACAGCTTCCATGCTGAGTCTTCATTCCGGGAGCAAAGGCATTTTCTGTGGACAGATTTCTGTCGAAATCGAGGTTTTTACCGTTTTTCGTGGAAATTGTGGGGGAAAACAAAACTTTTTCGTTCTAAAAACTGGCCAGCCACAGAGAGAGAGCCCTCCGGAGCTCAACCAGCGAGACCACAGCTTCCATGCTGGGTCTTCATTCCGGGAGCAAAGGCATTTTCTGTGGCCAAATTTCTGTCGAAATCGATTTTTTTACCGTTTTTCGTGGAAATTGTGGGGGAAAACAAAATTTTTCGTTCTAGAAACTGGCCAGCCACAGAGAGAGCCCTCCGGGGCTCAACCAGCGAGACCACAGCTTCCATGCTGGGTCTTCATTCCGGGAGCAAAGGCATTTTCTGTGGCCAAATTTCTGTCGAAATCGATTTTTTACCGTTTTTCGTGGAAATTGTGGGGGAAAACAAAGTTTTTCGTTCTAGAAACTGGCCAGCCATAGAGAGAGCCCTCCGGGGCTCAATCAGCGAGACCACAGCTTCCATGCTGGGTCTTCATTCCGGGAGCAAAGGCATTTTCTCTGGCCAAATTTCTGTCGAAATCGATTTTTTTTACCGTTTTTCGTGGAAATTGTGGGGGAAAACAAAATTTTTCGTTCTAGAAACTGGCCAGCCACAGAGAAAGCCCTCCGGAGCTCAACCAGCGAGACCACAGCTTCCATGCTGGGTCTTCATTCCGGAGCAAAGGCATTTTCTGTGGCCAAATTTCTGTCGAAATCGATTTTTTTACCGTTTTTCGTGGAAATTGTGGGGGAAAACAAAATTTTTCGTTCTAGAAACTGGCCAGCCACAGAGAGAGCCCTCCGGAGCTCAACCAGCGAGACCACAGCTTCCATGCTGGGTCTTCATTCCGGGAGCAAAGGCATTTTCTGTGGCCAAATTTCTGTCGAAATCGATTTTTTTACCGTTTTTCGTGGAAATTGTGGGGGAAAACAAAATTTTTCGTTCTAGAAACTGGCCAGCCACAGAGAGAGCCCTCCGGGGCTCAATCAGCGAGACCACAGCTTCCATGCTGGGTCTTCATTCCGGGAGCAAAGGCATTTTCTCTGGCCAAATTTCTGTCGAAATCGATTTTTTTTACCGTTTTTCGTGGAAATTGTGGGGGAAAACAAAATTTTTCGTTCTAGAAACTGGCCAGCCACAGAGAGAGCCCTCCGGAGCTCAACCAGCGAGACCACAGCTTCCATGCTGGGTCTTCATTCCGGGAGCAAAGGCATTTTCTGTGGCCAAATTTCTGTCGAAATCGATTTTTTTACCGTTTTTCGTGGAAATTGTGGGGGAAAACAAAATTTTTCGTTCTAGAAACTGGCCAGCCACAGAGAGAGCCCTCCGGGGCTCAATCAGCGAGACCACAGCTTCCATGCTGGGTCTTCATTCCGGGAGCAAAGGCATTTTCTCTGGCCAAATTTCTGTCGAAATCGATTTTTTTTACCGTTTTTCGTGGAAATTGTGGGGGAAAACAAAATTTTTCGTTCTAGAAACTGGCCAGCCACAGAGAGAGCCCTCCGGAGCTCAACCAGCGAGACCACAGCTTCCATGCTGGGTCTTCATTCCGGGAGCAAAGGCATTTTCTGTGGCCAAATTTCTGTCGAAATCGATTTTTTTACCGTTTTTCGTGGAAATTGTGGGGGAAAACAAAATTTTTCGTTCTAGAAACTGGCCAGCCATAGAGAGAGCCCTCCGGGGCTCAATCAGCGAGACCACAGCTTCCATGCTGGGTCTTCATTCCGGGAGCAAAGGCATTTTCTCTGGCCAAATTTCTGTCGAAATCGATTTTTTTACCGTTTTTCGTGGAAATTGTGGGGGAAAACAAAATTTTTCGTTCTAGAAACTGGCCAGCCACAGAGAGAGCCCTCCGGAGCTCAACCAGCGAGACCACAGCTTCCATGCTGGGTCTTCATTCCGGAGCAAAGGCATTTTCTGTGGCCAAATTTCTGTCGAAATCGATTTTTTTACCGTTTTTCGTGGAAATTGTGGGGGAAAACAAAATTTTTCGTTCTAGAAACTGGCCAGCCACAGAGAGAGCCCTCCGGGGCTCAATCAGCGAGACCACAGCTTCCATGCTGGGTCTTCATTCCGGGAGCAAAGGCATTTTCTCTGGCCAAATTTCTGTCGAAATCGATTTTTTTACCGTTTTTCGTGGAAATTGTGGGGGAAAACAAAATTTGTCGTTCTAGAAACTGGCCAGCCACAGAGAGAGCCCTCCGGAGCTCAACCAGCGAGACCACAGCTTCCATGCTGGGTCTTCATTCCGGGAGCAAAGGCATTTTCTGTGGCCAAATTTCTGTCGAAATCGATTTTTTTTACCGTTTTTCGTGGAAATTGTGGGGGGAAAACAAAGTTTTTCGTTCTAGAAACTGGCCAGCCATAGAGAGAGCCCTCCGGGGCTCAATCAGCGAGACCACAGCTTCCATGCTGGGTCTTCGTTCCGGGAGCAAAGGCATTTTCTCTGGCCAAATTTCTGTCGAAATCGATTTTTTTACCGTTTTTCGTGAATTGTGGGGGAAAACAAAATTTTTCGTTCTAGAAACTGGCCAGCCACAGAGAGAGCCCTCCGGAGCTCAACCAGCGAGACCACAGCTTCCATGCTGGGTCTTCATTCCGGAGCAAAGGCATTTTCTGTGGCCAAATTTCTGTCGAAATCGATTTTTTTACCGTTTTTCGTGGAAATTGTGGGGGAAAACAAAATTTTTCGTTCTAGAAACTGGCCAGCCACAGAGAGAGCCCTCCGGAGCTCAACCAGCGAGACCACAGCTTCCATGCTGGGTCTTCATTCCGGGAGCAAAGGCATTTTCTGTGGCCAAATTTCTGTCGAAATCGATTTTTTTACCGTTTTTCGTGG